TAAAATGGGGGCAGCCAACGCGTCAAACGAATGACGTTGATGTTACTGGGATGACGCCGGGGTAACGCCGCAGGGGAGCGGTGTTTAACGCCCCCTGGGCGTGAAAACCGGCTTAACGCCGATGGGCGTGAGCGGTATTACCAGTGGCCTTACTTCGGAAGTGGAGAGGCTGTTTCCAAGATACCCCGGGTTAAAAAAAAACTACGACTAAGATACTGATACATGCACAGATATATTATTATTATTACGGTGGGAATCTAGTGACACCGGAGTATGGTGCCACTAGCGGTGCCATTGGCATTTTGGAGCACCTTCGGTGCTCCGTTCGCAAAATTGACGATTCCTACTCTCCCTAACTCACCCCCTAAACCCCACCCTACCCCCGCCCCTGCACCCCCACCCCCACCCCGCCATAAGCCCCCCACAAAATGTGTGGCTATTATGCGTTGCATAATAGCCACACATTTTGTGGGGGGCTTACGGCGGGGTGGGGGTGGGGGTGCAGGGGCGGGGGTAGGGTGGGGGGTTTAGAGGGTGGGGGGTTTAGAGGGTGGGTTAGGGAGGGGGGTAGGAACCGTCAATTTTGCAAACGGAGCACCGGAAGTGCCCCAAAATGTCAGTGGCACCGGAGTGGCACCGGAGTGGCACCGTACTCCGGTGTCACTAGAACCTCACCCTTATTATTATTGTTATTATTATTATTGTTGTTTTATTATTATTGTTTAGTAATATAAGAATTAGTTTATACTCCATCCCAAAATGATTTACATTATTCGAATTACGTGCAAAGTCTCATCTCCTTTATAATGGTTTTATCTATAAATTGGTATAGAAATAAAATGTACAAATTACATATTTATAAATTACATCAAAAGTTCTACAAAACAAGATACAAGAAGAATATTTTATTTTATCAAATAACCTATGAAAACACACGAGTTAACAAAGTTTATCGAGAGACTCAAATAGTAAGTGTAAATCATTTTGGGACGGAGAGAGTAATTATTCGTGAATAGTCCTTTCCTGTATTAGTAGAATTGTTAGGAACAATTCATGCATGTCTTCGGCAAGGCCAAGCACGAAGCCATGAACCCTCCTATTCTGCAAAGAGTGAGTTATTCTTTGTCATTACGGCTTTCAATCATCGTCTTTGTCCCCCCACCACACCTATAACAATTTGGCATCAGAGTCATTTTCTTTCATACCCTTTTATCTTTGTTCTTGGCATTTATCGTTTTATTTTCTTCCAAGAAAATATCACACAAAAAACAATTTAAAACATAGGGCATAAATGACTTTTCATGCTCTACACGTTTTCGGAAAGAGATCGTGCAACTTGTTAAAATATTGAAGACAGACGTGAGTGGACTCTAGGCCATAGTTCATTTTGATTCCTTGCTAGACGCAATGACCACTCTGCGGGGATTTTATAAGAAAAATATTTGCACCATGGTCCATGGGGGTCATTTACAATTCACCATAGCAAGCAGCGTTTGTCATCACTAACCCTGCATAAAAGAATCCCCAAGTTATCAGATCCATTGTCAAAAGTTCAACCAACACCTTCACCCCATGTCCCACGGTTGACCGCATAAACGGCACTACTTCCGACATTGGTGCAATCGCCGCCAATAATCATGCCATCACCGCCCTCAAAGCTTCTTCCCCAACCACTTCAGCGCCCCGCTTCCGTTGCTAGAAGCTAGAAATCAATCTCCGATCCTTGGCAATTCTCTTTCCACCATGAAGTTTGAAAGTTGGGTTGCACCGAAACTTTTAACAATAGTCATATATGAGGGTAGCTTGTTTAGTCCCGAGACAAGATTAGAATTAGCTTTAACTTTGACTAGAATCAGATAATATGAGGTCACACTTTACTACTAGAATTTGCTGGTTTTACGTGGGTCAAAAGCCCTAGCAAAAGGGTCTAAGGGGACGCAAATTCCTATTTTGCGTCAGGCGTGCACCTGCCTACGGGGCATGGCTAATTTGCTCGATGATAATTGTTAATGTCGGCCAAACCGCCGCTACTTTGCGTCTGTTAACTCCTCATAAGGTTTTGTCGGTTAGACTCTGGATAATTAGTGTCGGTTAAGCCCACGCTACTTAGCGTCCGGTAACCCCCTCCAATTTGTGTCCATACGGCCGTCGCTAAATAGCATCAACGACCCAACTGTTTGCCTTAACATCTTGCATGGGGTAACTCCTCGCAAAAGTTTAAATATAAAACAATATTAGCGAGGACGTCTAAACCCACAAAATTCTTTTTTTAATAAAAAAAAATTATTTAATGCACAATTTCATATGAACAAAATTTTCATCAATCTTCCGAAGGAGTTTCAACATAATTTAAATACACAACCTAAACGAAATGAAGAATTCAATGCCATTCATCACAAAACTTCATAAGAATCACAAACAAATTTTTTTGATTGATAAGAGATTAATACAAACAATACAAAGCTTATAATTAAAAATTATTGCAAAACATAAGTTTAATGTCAAAGCATCTCATTAAGAGTGACAATAAATACTTAGGGGCTGTTTGTTTCAGCCTCTTAATGGTTCAGATGTCTGAATGATTCAGCACTTAATGGTTCAGACTGTTTCAGCCTCTTAATGGTTCAGATGTCTGAATGGTTAAGAGATTTGCCTCTGAATGGTTAAGTATTATACAGAGTCTGAATGGTTAAGAGTTGTTATCTGAATTGATCAGACTTTTACCTCTGAATAGTTAAGCAATATACTAGCTCTTAATGGTTCAGACCTCTTACTGGTTCAGCACTTAATGATTCAGACCTCTTACTGGTTCAGCACTTACCCATTCAGAAGTTGCCAAACAGCCCCTTAGCTCCTTATAAAGAAGAACGACGTTTGGAACCATGAATGCCATCAGTCATCAGAATGATGATGATGACGACGACACTTTTTTTTAAATACTTTTTTGCACCCTGCTATGTTGTTTCCTCCGATTGTTTCTTGTTGGTAGATTGCTAATTTCTTACTCGTGTTGATACCACTTATGCTTGTTGTAGAGCTAGGGTTCTTCACATTGAGCATTATTATCCTTTATTTTCCTTTGCAAGAAGAAAAGTAATCACTTTAGCTTTAATAAAAAATCATCATATATAGATAATCAAAGCGCTCAAAGTTTTACCTTAAAAATATCCCACCATCTGGCCTTAACATCTTCACGCAACACAGTCCAAGTTGGACAAGCTTCCCTAAATGGAGGGCCAGGAGAGGGATAACAGATGGTCTTGGGCACCCGATCCAACCTTTCCGTCACATATAAGCAAGCTATCCTCTTCCCGCCCATACCATACAAATGCTTATGCTAGACAAATTATGAAATTAATGTAATAACGTATTAGGCCGGTTCTATATCTCGTTGGGCCACATATCCATCAAATATTATTATAAAAAAAATGATATTCCTTCTCTTTTGTTGTCAACAAATTATTTATTATCTCTCAAAGATGCAAATGCCAACCTTCCATCCATTAAAACCGTTAAAAACAAAGAAATGTTAGGGAATTTACCTAAACAGGACTAAAATATAATGACTTTCTCAATATATGACAATATGTTTTTATTTCCCAATGTAGGACCATTGGTCATTATCTATTAGTCATTATTCAACTAAATGTCCTGCATTACTTGGACATTATTTTTTTCACTAGTCATTATTAAGTCCTATTTAGGGAATAAAAAAGTTTAAGTCCTACATTGGGAAATGAGTTATGTTTTAGTCCTATTCAGTGCAAATTTCACATGTTTAAAAAAACATTTTTGTCAAAATTGTCGGTCTTTTTTTATAATATAAATTATTCCAAGCCACAAGAAAATTGTACCAGAACACTTCACGTGTTTTTTTCATTCCCCATTTGACGTTTTTTTTTTCAATTTTTTTTTAAAAGTTGAAACAAAAAAGTTAACTTTTGGCAGTAATGTTTGAACAAAATTTTAGCTTTTTGAGTTTTGACAGGAGATTTAGTACGGAGTAGAATTTGTCAAGTCCGTTACATGCAATGAGAGGAACTGACTGAAATTATAACTCAATTTATTTCCTTTTTGTTAATTTTGTTGCCAGTATTGTGGGACCCTTGGGCATAGGGCGTCATCCTTTATACTCCCTCAAATATGACTAAAATATAGAAAAAAATACCAAAATAGGAGTTACATGTTTTTACAATATTTTCTCTCTCCTCTCGATATCTTTTGTTTATTTGTGTGTTTTCATTGATTATTTGATAAAATAAAATATTCTTATCACCTCTTGTTTTGTAGAATTTTGGACGTTGTTTTTTAATATGTAACTTTTATCTTTTATTGACGCATCGATTTGTAAATAAAATAATTTAAAAAATTGTGAGATTTTAGAGAGTAATTTCCATTTTATAATCTAGGCACGAGGGAGTACTCCGTATAAGTATTAGGGGTCTACAGTCTACTACGTATATACAAGCAACTCTAGTCTATATAATACGCACAATAAGAGTCAGGGGTCTACAGTCTAAGGGTCTGTTTGAAAATATCGTTAGAGATTAGCGTAAGCGTTTAGGATAAAATTTAAATGGTGCAGATTACTTTAAAAACGCTAACGCTAAACGCTGCTCGTAGACAGCCTTTTCAAAACGCTAACGCTATTCCCAAACAGGCACTAAGTCTAATACCTACAAAGTACTGTATTTACTACGGACTTGGGTCTACGGAGTATAATTCTCCGTATCATTTTAGATTTCTTATTCTCGTTATTCTAAAAGATTTGGGTGTTTATTCTACAAACAAAGAATTTGGGTGTTTAGGACTTGTTTAGGACTTGAGTGTTTTTTTGTGCTAATGCTTAGAAGTGTTCAAAAAGATTCCATCTGAAAAATTCATCCATGGACTGGCCCGATCCGAAAATGGATATCTGATGCTCCCTTCGTTCTCAATTTGATTTGGGAAAAAGACTAAAATAGGATTAAAATATTGAAAATATATCAAAATAAGATTTCTGTATTTTTATTCCCGAAAATAGGAGTTAAAATGCATTTATATTACCAAATATGGCCATGTACACTACCAAAAAATATAGTAATGTGCAAATGTACAGTGTCACATTACGAGCACATTACCACAGTGCGAAGTCATATTTCGGAAATAAAAACATGGAACTCCTGTTTTGGTACTTTTTTCTATGTTTTAGTCCTATTTAGGGTGATTTTTTATTTTGATTGGAATTCTTTTCTCTGTCTCCTCTAGATAATTTTTGTTTATTTACGCAATTTCATTAATTATTTGATAAAATAAAATATTCTTGTCACCTCTTGTTTTGTAGAACTTTTGACGTAGTTTTTTAATATGTAATTTTTATTCTTATTGATATACCAATTTGTAAATAAAATATTTTCTAAAAGTGAAATATTTTTTCTCGTAAACCCCAATTTGTAATCAAATTGGATGGAGAGGGTTTGTTAATTTAGCTTTTAGATTTTTCAAATCGGATATCCAAAAAACTAAATCAAATATGAAATGAAGTATTAAGATCTCGGATATCCACGAACTAGAGTCTAGAGGAACTCCTTCTATCTCACCAGCAAACTCAACCTAGGGTCACTTGTCTTCAACTTTTAGATACTGAGTTGTCCCCTCAATAACCTGAGTGTCATACTTCAAAGTTTCCTTGGTAGTAGAAACATTCCATGTCTGGGACAACTTCCGACACCATTTAAGGTGAAACATTAATATAGAGGATTTTAACTGAGATAACACACCCCAGATCTTCTAGTATGGGGCGGCCCAAGATTGGGCTATTGCCACAGACAATCTTTACCATAACAAACTCTCTATTAATCTTCCAGATTGCATGGGTGTCTTTGATCTCAAGATTGGGCTATTGCCACAGACAATCTTGTACAATATAATTGCAATTGTGATGCCTCTTAGCCCTTCCCCTTGATTTTCTCTTCCTCACCATCCATGCCAAGATGTCTTTTGCCCAAAGGTGTCTCGGAATTAGCATGAGCATTCTACTCCTCCTCTCACTTCAAAACCCGGTTACCTCTCAAAATGTCCTTTTTCTCTCTAGTTCTTACAAAATGTCAGAGGTGGCCCATCTGGATCAATTTCTCCAACCCATTTTTTAAGGTTTAACAGTCATTGGTGTTATGATCATTTTTTTAATGATACTCACACAATTTGCATGTGCTTTGTACCTCTCCATCACCTTATTAGGCCAAGGGGTTTGATCAGTGTAGAATGGGCCTTTTAGGAAGGAGATCGTGAACATTATATTGCTAAATGAGATTTCTCATCTTCTCCCTCTACCTCCCGCGACTCTTTCCACCATCTAGAGATGAATATCTTCAAAGACTCATCTTTTCTTTGCCCGATATAGGTGAGATCGGTGAAAAATACTCCACAAACTTTACCGCTAAATACTCCACAAACTTTACCGCTAAATCTTTTCCCTGCAAAATACTCCACAAACTTTACCGCTAAATCTCTCCAATTATCAATGCTACGCGGGGGGAATTGAATCTAGTTACCCCGCGACCGTGTCATCCACTGTTTGTAGGAAACATCTACAGATTACATCATCTTCTGCTCCTATAGCATGCATTTTAGTGTAGTAGCATATCCAAAGCTCCACAAGATCAGGCTTCACATTGTACCTCTTCATCGGTGGGACCTTAAATCTCAAAGGGTATAGGTAGGCCATGACCCTACGCGAGAATGTGGTATCCTCTCGTAGACCCATTTTGCGGCCTTTTAGAGAATCCACATTTAGTTGTAACTTCCTAATTTTCACCTAGTGATCTCTCATCCCAAAGGTACTTTCTTCCTGATTCCCATCAGGGTGTCATGTTCCTGGAGCCCGCATGACGCTCTACACCTCATTGTTCCCGGCTATGAACCTGGATAACTTTCAGATTCCTTCCCAATCTCTTGGCAACCAGAAAACGAATTCTCTCAAAGACCCTGCCACCTAGGACTGTCTCCTCTGCGTCTCGCAGCTGGATTGGGTCCAGGGTGAGAGGGACTCAAGACGTACTCGTCTTCGAGTCGCCATGCATCTTAACCTTTTCCTTTTCATGTCCCGAAAGCCTCTGCCCTATCTTGTCCCCTCAATTCAGGACTTCCACATCACACAGTTGTTCCACGTTCCGGGATAAAGGATAAGCTGGCTAGGTCACCATCTTGGGCGGGACAATTTAGTCCCCAAAGTGTCCGTGACTCCTTCATTGTACTTATTGATCCTTTCGTTCTTTGCTTTGATTTCCTCACACCTTTGAAAGTTTGCCAAGCGCGCTCTTCTCTGAGTTCCTCCAATATAGCAAAGCTCCACAGGTTCGTAACTCTGTCCTTACAACCAATGGATTGTTTGGGATTGGCGCAACAAACAGGTCTCACAATTGGTCCACTTTTTCCATCATGTGGGTTAATAGAAAAATGGATGTTACCCATCGTTGCCTACAGTGAAGTTGGCTAGAGAGTCAACTCTCTTCCTCCTCCAGATGGAGGTGGTACGACAACATATTATTGTGCCATCGTCGCATTAGCTTTGTTTCTGTTCTTCGTTTTTCTTCCTGCCATGCTCTAAAACACGCTTGAATAATCTCAATTGTCTCTCAATAAATGCACCAATGATGAAGTTTACTTCCCCAACATATAATTTTCGTAAATCTCACAGTAAATCTGGGAATTGAATAATATTGAACAAGAGATAAAAATATTGAATCTCAAGAGTTGGAAGAAAGTAAAAGAGCTTCTTTCATTCGTGACCCTTTAGGGGTATTTATACACATCCACGCTTCTTAATCCTATTGAGCTTCTCTTAAGAAACTTAGGTAAAGTTTTCCCCAAGTACCTAATTTTAATCATACTTGTATTTGGCCCAACCCATTAATTCTCCAGCGCGGACGAGTTCAGCCTATTATCGGCCCTTCTTCTCGAGCCGATCTAGGTCTTAATGTTATATTGATAATTACACTTTGGCCCAATCGACCCATCAATATTCTTAGTTTTTTTAAAAGTTTATAATATGTTTAAAAATGTTTAGTGCTATGCGTAACGCCCCAAAACATACCCTAAAATTTTTAATAAATAATTATTCAATTAATCACATTTGTTTTGATTAAAATAAATTATTGTTGGGCTTTGTACCGAAATGAAATGTGTTTTGATCATTTATTTGCATGTATATTTCTATGATTTATTTTGCATATCACATATACTCATATACATAAAACCAAATACATAGAAAAGTTTGTGGTTTATTCATTTTTGTTTTCCAAGTGAAAATCAAAACAAAATCCAAATAATAACGGTCTAGTTTGGGTTATTTTTACATTAAGTTTCTATTTTTTAGATTCGACTTTTTTTAAAGCTGTTCCGATGAAGCCATTGTTCTCTTCTCGAGTTTGGGCTCTAATGTCATGCTAATTTTATCCGGATCAGTATATTGAGCTATTTATATTGATAATTACACTTTGGTCCAATATAACCATCAATATTCTAAGTTTTTTAAAAATTTTATAATATGTATAAAAATGTTTAGTACTATCACTACTACAAAAAAGACTTTTTAAATCGGTTATTTTGATCCTTTTAATTCGGTTATTTTGATCCTTTTAAATCGGTTATTTTGACCCTTTTAAATCGGTTTTGAACCGATGCAAATGCTCATGTTGTTTTTTGCATCGGTTGTAAAACTGATGCAAAAGCCTCTTCCCAGAAATGGCGCCAATTCTAGGAAGAGGCTTTTGAATCGGTTATTTGGTAATAACCGATTCAAAAGCCTCTTCCCAGAATTGGTGCCATTTCTGGGAAGAGGAATTTGAATCGGTTATTTGGTAATAACTGATTCAAAAGCCTCCCTTTTGAATCGGTTATTACCAAATAACCGATTCAAAAGCCCTTTTCCCATTTCTGGGAATGGGCTTTTGAATCGGTTATTACCAGATAACCGATGCAAAAAATAAACTTTTTCAAAATGAATTTTTTGTTTGCTCCCGATCCACTACATTTTCAATTTTGCACAGAATTCTGTACAAACTATACAGATTCAACAACAACAACAATTCAACTCATCAACACAACAACAACTAACACAAACCAATAACAAACACAAATACATTCACAAAACTCAAATGTCACAAAACAAATTAAATCAAAAAAGTAAACATTTGCATCCACCACTTGTACATCTTAAAAACTACCAAGAGTAAAACAACTACTCTTCCAAGTTTTAACAACACAACTAAGAGTCAAACAACTGTTGGAAATTTAAATTCAACAACAACTACACTCTATTAACATACATTTAATACTATACAATATAACACAAACTTACACTAGTTCATTGAGAAAACCCCCCGACCAAAACTCTCTAACCTCTTCTAATTCGGCTCTAGTATAAGGCAAAGTAGACTGAAATACCTGCAATACGAAAACAACATACAACATAAAGTTTAATAATCTATGAGAAAGAAAATGATGATAAACACTTTATTACTTTCAAAAACACACTAAAATAAACTTACATCGGATAACGGTAAAGAACATTGTGCACACATAGTGACGATGAGCCATAAAAATCGCATGGTATAATAACCACACTCAACGTTCCCTACTTGTTAGGGTACTCCGGGAACATCAACCCAATCCGGTCGAGCCTTAAGCTGAGGCATGTGCCGTTCCCAAAGTAACCGCCAAGACATTTAATATATGTAAAGAAAAAATTAATAAGAAATTAATACCTTTACAAATAAAGAATTTCATTAATAAGAAATAAATTTCTTAATACTTACTCGTTGACGAAAGTCTTCACCTTCATTTTCTTATGCCCTCCGGTCGCCTTGATTGAGTTTAGGAAATACACTTTGTTTTCAAACAAACGTATTACTATTAACACCCAATGATGCTTACAATTGAAAAAGCGCTAGTCACTAAATTAAAATAAAAAACCGAAATACATATTGGAAATGGTTTAGAAAACATACGATATCGATAGATACAACGACATAAGTATCTTGGGTCACGATTGATAGGTTTCGAGTGCTCTATCCAGATACTGGCGATCTCCAAAATCTACCATGTACGCCATGTTCTTCGGACATAACAACCCGACAGACGTGATGCCGTGCTCCATCATATGATCGTGCAACAATCTAGTAATTTCACATGTAAATAATGATTACAATTATAAGAAATAATTAAAATTATAATAGTAATTTATTTGTACGTAGTGCTTGACATACCTCAAGAAAACAATGATGATGGTCTGATCGACATCCTCCCATCGCATGAACTCGCGTATATTCTTCGGACGCATCCTCAGCTCCGTCTCCTCCGGATAGAGCATGGACTCGGGATCGAGAATGATGCTGATGGTAGGCAAAGCAGATCAGATGTGCGTGTCAGCCACTGACACAACTCTTTGCACCTCGGCACGAATGAGACGTATGAGCTCCGGTCAACAACATCCTGTACGGGAGAGCTAGGAGCAATGGGGCGTATGCCGAGAATAGGACGAGATTTTCTTGATGAGAAGTTGCCATGTCGAGCTGTGTGCACCGGGGACTACGAATATTTAAAAAAAAAAGATATATGAAACACAGCCCAAATGATGTTGAATAAAAAAGAACTAAATTTATTTACTTCTTACATCTCCAAGGCCCACCAACGACTTTGGCCATGCAACGAAGCTCCCCTCGCAATCGGCGACAGTCTCTATATGCTCAGTCAGACAAGGAATGGTATACTCACCCATTCCAGGAAGCACAAGGGTCACAGAGACCTTAACCTGGTGAGGAAGGAGGGGAACACCGTGTCACTATATAATCGGCTGGATCAGAGATCCTCAAGTAACAAGCAGCAACCTACAAAAAACAATTAGTAAACTAATGTCGGAAACAAGTAAACATAAACCGAACTTGAAACCTAAATTAAAAAATATATGTACATCAGTGAGATCGGCGAAGTCAACAAAATCTGTAGACTCCTTGCTACTACGCTGCCCATAATGAGGTGCTACAGAAGGTGTGTGCTCCGACATGGATGCAAAGTCTAGTGCACCCCCGGACACACATACTCCATAGTGCTGTAGAAGGGAAGGAAGACGCTGCAAAAGATCCTCCTCAGTCATATAGTTACCTTCGGGCTTACGAGGCTTCATGTTGCCTTTGAAAAATTTAAGTAAGCCCGAATATGACCCAACACCCCTCGTCCGCCCCGGGTCCTTGGCAGTCCCTAAAGCTCTAGTCAGTACATCATTGTGCCCATCTGGCACAAAGGTACCGGCTGCGACCTCTTTCTTTAGCTGGACCTACAGTTAAGAAAGAAAAGAAGTAAAGAAATTGTAAGCAAATAATAAACAAGTAATAAAAAAATATATTGACGTAATTGTAGATTATATGCTTACTATCCTATCACGAATCTCCATCAGTGCAGGGTCCGTAACTTCTGCCTGCCTCCCCGGGGTGTGACCTCGCAACCAAGAGTCCTCCCATCCGAGCTAAGAACCCGTCTCGGTAGATGAACCAGATATCGGCAGAAGTGGTGGCCTGAGAAGCAGCGACCAACTCACGCTGAAGCATGTCATATCCACCCCGGCCTATATAGTGCGGATAAGGATTCTTCTTCTGTATATCCTTGTTCTTCTTGCTCAAAGCCTAAAACAATTGTTTAAAATAAATTAATATGTCAGTAAATTTCATTCAATGAAGGTAATTATGGTTTAATTACCTTAGCTTCCGGAGTCCCCATTTGGATCTGAAACTCCTCCCAATGCTCTTGCTCTATGAAGTGGCCCCTAACTCATCTTGAGTGGCCCCTAACTCATCTTCCATTTCAACCTCAAGATTGTGGATGTCATGAATATCATCCTCGACTTGTTCATTATGAGTATAGCTAGAGCTGCAAGGATTTTCTAACTCTCCATGCCATTTCCATCGCAGGTATGTTGGGTCAAAACCCTTGCAATACACTTGTAATCTTATATCTTTAACGCTATCAACCATAAAATGGTTGTGACATGAGTTACAAGGACAATATAGTTTTTTTCCTTCTTTTGAATGTTTCTCTGCGAAATGAATAAACTCTTTCAAACCAGAACTAAACTCAGGTAATGTACGCGACATATGAATCCAACTTCTATCCATCATATGAATTGCTAAGTAAGAAAGAAGGGCAAATGATTGATACATGCAAAACAATGCACAACAAAATTATTAACACTCATTTTATATATACACACAAACATATAAGAAATACAGGCAACACAATATTTTATTTCTTATGATGTAACAAAAATTCGGCAGCACTTCTTCATTATACAACTGGTCTTTCTCTACATCATCCTAACCCATTCTTGAAATGTCACCCTCACTAGTAAATGTATTTCATTTTCTTTGACCTATCAAAATTTCAACAGCATTTCCCAATGGTTCTCCAAGTGCATGATGTAACGTAATTACATATGCACCCGAAGAACACATTTAGGAAACGTCAAACCAAAAAATGACGGAACAAAGAGAAAGAAATACATTCACTACCTAAGTGAGAGAGGCATTTCAAGAACAGCTCCAAACTGGAAGCTATTTAAAATTTATTCCTAATGAGTAAATTTTAAACAGGTATCTAGGTCGGTCAATATATGTTATTTCTATATTATAACATCTCAGAACATGTAGAATCAAACACAAATAAATTAAACAATCTATTTTTGAAACTCAATCTATATCACAATGTCACATTTCAAATTAAACATATTTACAAAACATATAGAGTAAATTAAATATTAACCTAATCCAAAAATATATAAACAAATAATAGTATAATTAAATATTTAAAGTTAAAAAAATTAAAAAAATACCTTAAAGAAGCGACGACAGCGAGGCTGGGAGTTGACAACGGCGAGGCGTGGCAACAAGCATGGCACGGCGACGTCAAGGCTAGGCAAAAACGGCGAACGGCGAGGGTGTGTGAGGTGGACGAGGGCGAAGTGGAGTAGGGTTCGAGGAGGCACGGGCACAGCGACGGCGTGGCTGGGGAGTTGACGACGACGAGGCAACGACAACGGCGAGGCGCACAACGAGCAACATCAACGGCAAGCTAAGGAGTTGGGCAACGTCGAGGAGCGAGCACGACGAAGACGAAGAAAGGGTTTGGAGGTTTTTTTTACAAAATCACGTAAGGATAAGGTAGGATTGAATGTGTTTTATCAGACTCTTTAAGATCGGTTATTCCTAATAACCGATTCAAAAGGTTATTTGAATCAGTTATTAGGAATAACTGATCCAAAAGAGTCTTAGCTTTTGGATCGGTTATTTCTAATAACCGATTCAAATACCTTTTGAATCGATTATTAGGAATAACCGATCCAAAAAGCTAATAAGCATTTGGATCGGTTATTCCTCATAACCGATTCAAATAACCTTTTGAATCGGTTATTAGGAATAACCGATCCAAAAGCTAAGTGGTACGCGAAATTTTTTTGCCATTTACATCATTTGTTTTGCTTAATGATGCAAATGTGGGGATTTATTTGGTCGTTTTTGTATTAGTGTATGTAGTTAAAGAAAAATAACTTTAGTGAACTAAACAATTATTTTCATTTATTTCTATGATTTATTTTACATATCACATATACTCATATGTGTTGAAATATTGGAATAATAATATTGTTCCTTGAATTATGAAGTACATGATAGAGTATATATAGAAGAGATTTCTAACACAACTAGGAATAGAAAATGGAGACTAACTAAAATAAAACATCTAGCACAAATAGGAATTAGAATAGGAAGCTCACTAATAATCAAACACTACCATAACCAATACTACCAGAAGTAATATTAGTATTATTGTCTAACATCCTCCCTCAAGATGAATTTTGACTGAAGCAAGAGGAAGATTGGACTCTAGCTGGAAACAGGAAACTTTGAGAAAAGAGAAGTCTGACGTGCGCTGGTTGTTGCTGACGTCTTTAGAAAAGAGAGAAGTCTGACGTGCGCCGGTGGCTGCTGACGTCGTTAGAAAAGAGAGAAGTCTGACGTGCATTGGTGGCTGTTCACATCGTTAGAGAAGAGAGAAGTCTGACTTGCACCAGTGGCTGCTGACGTCATTGGAGAAGAGAGAAGTTTGACCTGCACTGGTAGCTGCTAACGTCATTGGAGAAGAGAGAAGTCTGACGTGCGCTGGTAGCTGCTGGCGTCTTTGAAGAATAGAGAAAGGGTTGACATACGCTTGTAGCTGCTGACGTCGAAGAAGAACAGAGAAGGCTATTCGAGGTGTTTGTTTGATTGAAGATCGTTGACATTCTTTGTCTTTTTCTTGGATCTGGGCAATGCCCTATTTTCTTCTTGAAGGGGTGAGTTGTAGAGGTATTGTTTCCTCTTTCACTACTTCCCCTCTTAGCTTTGCTTTTGTGTCGATTTACTTTGGATTTTTATTGGTTCAACAGAAGAGAAAGAGAAGGGAGGTTGATGATTAGAATGAGTTATTTGAGAGAGAAAAAAGTGGGTTAATAATTGGTGATGGAAAAAGTGAGTCTCAGATTTTGATATGGTGAATTGGAGAGAAACAACTATCGTTTTTTTCCTTCTTTCTTTTTTTTTGAGAAGATTGGATGATTAGTTGAGAGAGGTTTTTTTGAGGAGTTGCCGATCCGAAAAATTAAAGGAAGACATCGGCTCGAGGGTAAATGAGATTCAGGCTTAGCCGATGGTGGAGCGGTTGTGGATTTTGAGGGCATGTTTCCCTTCGGCGGAATTTTTTTCTTTTCTTTTTCTTGAAGGGGTGTAGAGGTATTCTTTCCTCTTTCACTACTTCCGTTCTTGGCTTTGCTTTTGTGTTTTTTTTGGAATTTTTTTGGTTAACAAAAGAGAAAGAGAGAAAGATTGATGATTAGAATGACTGATTTGAGAGAGAAAAAGGGGATTAAGATTTGGTGATGAAGAAAAGATCTAGGTCTGAGAATCTTTGATAGTGAATTGTAGAGAAACAACTATCATTTTTTTCATGATTTTGAGAAAATACAAGGATGAGTTGAGAGTGTTTATGAGGAGTTGGTGTTTTTTTGAAGAACTATGGAGATGACAAGAGAGAAATTCCTCCTTTGATGGTTTTTTTGTGTGATTTCAATAGGGTTTTTTTTCTTTTTTATTTGAATGGAGAAGTTGATTTCAGGATAAAAGAAGGAAAAGAAAATAGAGGTGAATCGGGTGGAGCCGCCGTAACCAGAATTATCAGCGACGGTGACAGAAGCAAAGAACTCTTTTAGTTCACTAAAAGCGATGACTCCGATATCATGTTGAAATATTGGAATAATAATATTATTCCTTGAATTATGAAGTACATGATAGAGTGTATATAAAACAGACTCCTAACACAACTAGGAATAGAGAATGAAGACTAACTAAAGTACAATATCTACCACAAATAGGAATATGAAGCTGACTAATAATCAAACACTACCATAACCAATACTATCAGAAGTAATATTAGTATTATTGTCTAACAATATGCATAAAATAAAATACATAGAAAAGTTTAGTTTATTCGATTTGGTTTTTCAGAATGAAAATCAAAATGGAATCCAAACAACAATGTTCAGTTTGGTTTATTTTTATATTCAGTTTTAATTTTTTAGATTTGATTTTTTCTAATTCATTTCGATTGATTTTCTATTCGCATTAGTCTAGGAATACACCAAGATGGTCTCATTTGTACGAGCGTGTTATTTAGGACTGGAAAAAAGAGCTTGATGTTGGAAGAAACTGCAAAAAACTGGAAGCAACTGGAAAAAACTGGTAGAAATTGGAAGAACTCGAAGAAACTGGAAAGAACTGTAAGCAACTGAAAGAAACTGGAAGAAACTAGAAAAATTGGAAGAAACTGGAAAAACTTCAAAAAATTGAAAAACCTAAAAAAAACTTTTAAAAAATTTATTTTAGTGTGTTTTTAATATTATTATTCTCATTCTGATTCTTGTTTTTATAAATTATTATTATTATAAATATCATCATCATCATCATGTATCGTAATGAATGTCTTTAATAAAAAAGGTATTATTTTTTTCACACAAAAAACTACTTTTCCAAAAAAATAATAATTATAATATAAAGTTAGCATAAATATCAAAATCTTAAATTTCAAAAAGTTATTTTGGTTACGTTGCACCTCAATTTATTTATGCAGTATTTATTATAAATAATATATTTGTAATTATACTTTATATATTACAAGATTTTGTTTTAAATACCAGAAATGTCACATAATGTAATCAAAACTATTTTTCTTTCATGATTGACATTTTATTTTCATTGTAACTCCTATTTTTGGAATAAAGACATAGAATTTTTTTTAACATTTTATATGTTTTACTCCTATTTTAGTCTTTTTCTCTAAACTATTTTGACTTTCAAATTTTGTTATAAAAATTAGAAAAATAAGAAAAATATGAGTGATAAAGGGAAAGGTGGGGGGGGGGGGGCTTATATTAAGTTAGATAAATAAAATATTCTATGTAACTATTTTATCCATAATTTTTTAATATAGTTTAAAATATTGATGTTTTCCTATTTTATCATGTAGATTAATATACAAAAAAATTTGTCTTATTCATATTAAAAAGTTGAAGAAAAAAATAATGAGTGTGAATCGTAAAAACAGTGAGAAGAATTTTTTTTATATAAAATAGAGTTATGAACATAGTAATTATAATAGAAATAATAATAATAATAATCACATTAAAAAATATATCGTTTTTAGAATAATTGGTTGGGGAGTAGAAAAAGTTTGATATATAGTTGGAAGGAACTGGAAGAAACTAGAAGAAACTGGAAGAAACTAGAAGAAACTGGAAGGACCTGAAAGGAACTGGAAGAAATTGGAAGGAACTGGAAGAACTGGAAGGAACATGAAGAAACTAGAAGAAACTAACAAGAAAAAATTGAAAGTTAAGA